ATATTACCATCCATCAAAAGCTTTTATTTGTAGCCTCTCCCTCAACAGTCCCTGCCTTTCTGTGGAATTGAAATAGTCTCATAAAGTAGCTATTTTTGCAAGGGCTATAAACCTGCATTATGTTTTTACAAGATCCCAAATAGGACTTCCAATCATCACAATGCTCAGATGAAAGCTGATTTGAAAACTGTGGCAGACATATATTAAAAAAAGAAGGCCATATATACTGGTGATCTGAAAAAACTGCATGCACAGATACAGACAAAATAGAACACCCAGGCAAGGCGGAGCTCCAGGGCCCAGCTGAGACCCACAATCCCCTCCCGACTGCCCACTCCCTGGTCCCCCTCCACGGGCAGCCCTCGACTCCCCCTCACCCCCATGCTCTTTGCTTCCTGCTCTCAGATGCAGAGAGCCTTTTCTATTCAGTTTGCCATAACGAGTTTGATGTTTTCAAAGAATAATTTCATTCAGAAACCAAGACAGAAAGAAAGAGAGACAGAGAGAAAGACAGGAAGAGAAAGATAAAAAAGGAGAGAGAAAGGGAAAGGAAGGAAAGGAAGTGAAAGGAAGGGAAGGGAAGGGAAGGGAAAGGAAAGGAAGGGAAAGAAAGAAAGAAAAAGAAAAAGAAAGACAAAGAAAGAAAGAGAGAGAGAGAAAGAAAGAGAAAGAAAGAAAGAAAAAGAAAGAAAGAAAGAAAGGAAGGAAGAAAGAAAGAAAGAGAAAGAAAACACAAAGCACAGAACTAAAGAGTTTCAGGGTACAGGCTTCTAATGCTATCTTAGCCACACTTGGCAATGAAATCTCTAGGGTGCATGTGTGCTACTAATTCATTAACAATGTGGGCTTCCCACATTTAGGGTGGCTTTATGCATTAGTGCTGGGGCATCTACTAAGACTTTGAGTCTGTCTCAAGTCTAAGTGTCACTGGGCTCCTGGATGCACATTCCTGCTTTAGATTAGCAAAGTTCAAGTTACCTTTTGGTTTTCCAAATGAGGGGAGCTTTGGGCTCATTTGCAGAGCAGATAAATGTCCTGTTAGAACTCAGAAAATAACAATGATTCCTCATAACCTACCCCTTAATCTGCCTGCATAGCACCATGAACCCAGATCCTCTTTGGGAACGGTCTTCTAGAATTGATCAGTTTTGTAACAATCCATTTCAAAGTATCTTTAAAATAATAAACACATTTCCATTCAAGAGAAGCAAGACGCTTTGCCACAAAAGCATGGTCAAATGTGACATCCCTCACTGATTTTTACCTTTAGCTTATTTGAAGTCCTGCAGGTTGACCCACGCTAACTGGTGCCGAGTTAGCTTGTGCTTTCTTGCATAAATGCATACCAAAGGAGGAGGCTTTTAGAAAGATTGGAGTTGATTACTTGACATGGGATCACATTTTATAAGGTTGGGGCTGCCTGCATCTCAGGCCCAACCAGTGACTCACTCTATAACCTTGCACTTCAAAGGATCTAGAAGTTGAAGAAAAACCAGGGCACCATTAAAAGCAAAATGCAGCTCCTGAACTCCTGGATAAGGTTATAGATTTTAAAAAAATGTGGGTACTTGCAGGCAATTTAGAGTTTAGGAGGTCGCTATGCTCTAAAATTAGTAAAGTACTCAGGAAGAGAGAATATAGGTTGACTACACTGCTAGAGTCCCATTTTCTTTCTTTCTAAAATTTTACATAAAATAACATCATATTATATTCATCTAACTAGGTTACTTGTCTATACAGTAAAACATACTCAGCCTATAAACATTTTTGTAGTTTCTAGCAATTGAAAAATGTGATCAATTTCAACCATATAAAATTGATCTCACCTAATCACTCTAATTCACTGGGGATCCCTATAATATTTTTCTATAATTCAAATCTCCTTATTTCCATTTCTGATCCTGATAGATGGTTGCTCAGGCAATGCTGACACGTCACTAGAAATGTTGTCCTTACTTTTGACAATCAAAATACTCTGTCTGTAGAGTCTGTAAATATATTTAAACTTATTCTTCCACAGGCACAGAGTCTGTACCTCATGTGGGTTCGCTTGTAATTGGGTGATTCGACTAATGCAATCCGGATATTTAATACATAGGCACCTATTCCTTTAAACTCGGCAGCTGCAATTTCCCTCCATGAGTGAGTTGAAAATACTTTGTATTAGTAATGAACATTTCAGGGCCCTGCAGGGCTAAGAAACAAAGGTCTTTCTGGGGCAAGGCCTGACTTTTCATCGATTCCCCTTTATGATCCTCACCTCTGGCGCTGTCCTTTTATGGCAGTGCTTTGCACAGGTATGGAGATGAGTCTGCCCCTTGCAAGTCTTGACCCACTGCCACTACAATGTCACCTTTTATAGTTCTCAGAGTCTTAGAAATCTCTTCTCTCTCTAGGACCTAGCTAAACTTTTGTGATCAAATAGAAATGGTCGACAAGCAAATGTTACCAATAGTTTAAAAAAAGGTTCCATCTTGCACCTGGTAGATAATCTACAGTGGTTTGTCAAATTGCATTTATTGCAGTGTGTCTACATTAAAACTTGCCATTCAGAAGTGGTGTGAAATTGTGTACCCAATCCTTGGCATCCTGACTGCCCTCCTGTCAGATTCTTGATTTGAGAACCTTTGTTAGCCATGTACAAAATGTGGAACTGCAGATACCTTTGTGCCACGGCAAGCTACTTTTCTGAACTCCTTTGCTCCTTAACCTCTCTTAGGAATCATTGCCCCAGCACTTATTTTCTTCCTACTGAAACCTTTGTGTTGGATTTACCTTTTCCCCAGAACAAAGAAAACAAACTGTTTCTGGGGAATGAAAGGCCATGTTCTCTGAGGTGACGGACTGCTGTCTTTACCAAGCCCAACTGCAAAACACTAGTGTCTAGAAGCAGAGAGACCAAGAATTAAAACGCCAGCCCCAGGATGTTTTCTGGAGAGAGCCCTTATACAGCAATAATTAAATCACAAAGAACTACTAAGAATACAAATACAGGATGCATGGGTCATCATTTCAACCCAAAGGCCTCACTCAGTAAGAGTCCACAGCACCTTTATCTGGAAGCGCTCTCAGCGACAGGAAATGCACTGCTGGGGTGCTCAAGTTCAAAGGTAAATAGGAAAAATAAAATCATAGCTGGGAAGGATGGAGAGCGATAGGAATCAGGGAAAAGAAGACAAGCTGAATTTGGCAGAGGGTGTAGACTGCCCTCTACACCCTAGATGCTTTACCTAGGTGCTTTACCTAGATGCTTAACTCTTGTGATTAAATCGAAATCATTAATAAGAAATATTTACTATTGGTTTTTAGAAATGTCATACAGACAATGTGTAGCCTTCTAAATGCAAGTAGTTAGACATAGTTATCCAACGGTAACAAGGACAGACACCCTTGGTATCTCATAACAATTCTCCTAAAGTCCAGGCCACCGTGAACAAGGTTATGAAAACATCCTTTTTGTATTTTAGTGATGAACACTCATGAACTGAATGGAATTCAACACGGTCCATGTTGTATGGAACTTCTCACCATAATGGGCTGTGTTATATACTTGTAGTTCTATTTTACTTAGCACTGAGGTGGCCTCCCTTTCCCTCTCCACCTGGGATTAATCTGTCCTTCTTTTTCACTGATGTAGGCCTTCTTTGAAGCTCTATTTCTGTATTCATGACAGTTTTGTTCTTTTACTGGTAGCTGCTATGGGCCTACCTCCTACCTTAAACCCAGAGTTCAGAAAGCTCTTTCTTTTCATCTTTGCATATTAAGCACCTAGCATTCACTCAAGTAATGTCTGCAAAATTAAAAGATAATTGGTTTGCACGATTGAGAAAGAACATTTCAAGGAGACTGATGTTTACCTGAATTATTGGGCTGCAGGAGATTTACATGGACAGATTCTTAATTGTACAGATGAAGTACAATGTACCTCGGAACTGTAACTTGTTGGCAGAGCAAAAGCAAGTTGATCGTAAAATGTACTAGAATTCCACAAAAAGGGGTGCTTTGGATAAGTGAAGACAGGTGAAAATATTACCACGTTCTCTGCTCTAAGTGGATTATGGTCAAATGAAGTATTTACAGAAGACGTCATTGTTTTCTAAATGTATCAGTAAAGTTTGGGATACGTTTTGAGGAGACAGCGCTTCCAGATTTGTATTTTGAACATAACTTTGAAACATGCACAGGATGCTGCATAGAAGTATCCCACACTACACTGATATTAAAATGAAAATATCTTGTAATGCACTGTACTGAAAAAGTGGCTTGGTTAAACACCCTCACCGGTAAAGGGCAAAGGACCTCGGAACACTTCTGCACAGTTTCATATTTGAAATAACTCCTTGTCCTCACATTGCAGAGCAAGGGCAAGTAAGGGCTCTTGGCCAGAAGCTGAGAACAGCCTCATCACACAGAACGACATGGGGCTGGACATTATAATCATGGTGTCTGTTCACAATGGAGCTCATCTGGCCTGGCTTCTCCAGCCTTCATTATTTTTTTGCTTCATTAGAGTGAAACTCTTACACCAGGCTTCAGCTCCCATTTCTAATTTGGGATGGCATGTGTCGTCTGCTTCACAATGCTTTACCAGTACCCTAAGCCCTCAATTTCCACTTCCAGTCAGTCAAATAATTCTCATTCCTGGAGCAAATCTGAGAGATCTTTTCATAGAAAGTCATAATTGGTGGCTTTGCTGGACCCACTGAAAATTATAGAGACCAGAGTTAAAAAATTAATTTTCCTTGCCGACCAACAGCTAGGATTTAGGGGACGGGTTGGTTTTCACCTGATTTCTGACCGAGCTAGGAACATTCTTATTGTTCTTCCCTGAGGCTCTGCAGTGTCACTGAAGGAACGTCAGAGAACTAGGCAGTGGGGGGACCTGGGTCAGAGAGGGAAGAGTCACTCCCTTTTGAGGTTTGTTCTCCAGCTGGCATCTCTCCCGGTGGCTGCAGAGCAGCAGGGGACATGCGGAGGTGGACAGCAGGGTCTAGACCTACCTCGCAGCCTCTTCAGCCTCTGCTCCCGCCGCCTCCTCCGCACAACCAGCAGGAGCACGAACAGCAGCAAGACCCCCACCAGGATACAGGAGATGGTCACCAGCATCTTGAGCCCCTCGTTGGTCGTCAGCCCTTCTTCGCTTTGGACAACTGATTTAATGAGTGGAGGAATTGTACCTGAAAGCAGGGCCACGGTGTTAGATGGCTATTAATGAAGACGGCATGGTGGAGCTTTTAGGGATGATAGGTTATAAAAATCGCGGTGTGATCCTAGGGTGTCGGAGGTGATGAAAAATGAAAAGAACTCTTTTTCTAGGCCCTGGCTCACTTATTTTCGTATTTATTTCCCTCCCTCTGCCTGAATTTCCAACTTATTCTATAGCGCACATTTGAAAAGGACTTCCTTTTGCGACACACTACTGAGCGCAGGCACTTGAAAGCATGAGGCCCAGGCTCGGTGCTGACAAAAGCCACATGCATCTACCCAGAATTAAGTGTTCCCTTGACTGTCACCCACACTACAACTGATAGAGACTACTTGAAAAAATTGCACATCAAAGAATGAACAAAAGGTTGGGCAAATGGACAGAAGCACATGTGCAGGGAGAGGGTCCTAGATACACTGGCATAAAGCTCAAATCCCTTGTGATTAGGTTATTTGTGGGCTTTTGTCACAGGTGTAAGACCAAATCTACTTCAACAGCTGCCATCTAAGAGTACGAGAGCTACAGACAACTTTTCAAAGGGGACCCATCCAGGTTTCTAAAGGAGCCTACTTTTGATCAGGCATTATTAAATAGTGCTACAAAATCCAGATTATTTTGAGTTATAAGGAAACACTGAAGGAAAATGAACTCCGAGCTATCTTAAGCTGCCTTCTATCTAGATGCTCAGTACAATGGATGCAGAGATCTAAACACAGGCATCCACCTTTTATGGGGTATGTATTTTGCTACCCTCCATTATGTAAGATGCTCCACCCCACTGCACTTTCCATATACAGCAAGGGCCAGAAAGTCAGCACTTCAGGAAAAGAGAATGCAAAAATAATATAATTTCTCTCCCAGCAAAATGGTCTTTATCCCGCATTTAGTAAGCAGAGCAGGGATAATGGAATCCTCGTTCCTCTGAGATCTCCGCTAAAGCCAAGAAGACTGTTTTTCCAACTTTAAAGTGTTTTTGTGCAAACCCAAGTCTCCAAATGCTTAGAAATTCAGGGAAGAGGCACTTATAGGATGCCCATAAGGATGGGTCTGCAAAACCAAGACAACACAAGGACAAGCAGAAACATTTGGCTAAGGAAATGGCAGAAGAAAGAGTGAGATCGATAAATGGAGGACTCTGACACCTGAGTGATATGAATGTAGGCTGTCCATCTTGGTTTTCTCAAGATAAAAAAGTTCTTCAGGCAGATGTGACAATAGAGATATTAAAGCTATCTATTCATAAGTTTGGTCCAAAGAAATCTGTAATCTCTTTCAAGGAAAATATAAATATGCAGTCTTATTTCTTACTGTCATAAAGTCATTTCATATTTCTAAAATGTAAAGGTAGCTTGCAGGATTTTTCAAAATTTGGGATCTTAAAGTGAGAAAATGATGTTTTCTTAGAAGACAAACATTTAAAATCCGCAGAGCACTTTGTGAATTAGAATCACAGTTTCAAATTCTACACGAGTAGTTTTCTAATTAAATCATGAGCTGTGAGCATATCATCAGTGTGCACATCTAAGCTGGGTGCCCAGGCATCTGCACATATTATAGAGAAGCTGGGGACCAGAAAGTGAATATTGTAAGACAATGATCTAAAGCAAAAAAGATACTTTCTACTCAAATGTATGCTGGTTAACAGAGGATTTTGATGAACCCTTAAATGCTAAGTAAAGTGTCTGGTAAGTGTCAAAGTTCTTTACTTTGTAAGATCAAATAATTCAGCCACATTATGGGGAGAGGCCAGCTTGGAAGTTCTCCTCTGCCTGTGGGTGATGCTTTGTGATGGGGACACCTTTGAATGAAGTCACTTGAGTGAGGGCTATGAAATTAGAGAGAGGCAGCCCTTGAAGAGAAAAGTTGTTGTCTGGGAGGGCATAGGCTATTCTGGGGCCATAGGACAGAGCCCCTGCAGAGGCTAGGGACCCCGGCTGGTGTAACCAACACTAGAAGAGCTTTCTACAAGCTCAAGGTCTTCCTACAGCCCTGAGACCCAGGCCAGAAGTGCCAGGAAGACCCTGGGCTCTGGCGGAGGAGGATGTTGTGGAAAAATGACCTTGGACAGGAGATTTGGGGTAGGTCTGCTCTGTGTGCGAAGCAGGAAGAGCCAGTTCTGAGCCATCCGGACATTATAGGAGAAATTGATCAGATGAAAATCCCAGGCAACTTCACCTCATTAGCTCCTTGTGGTCATTTCTGTGGGTCCTTAGGTTCACAGACACTCTTCTTAGGATGGCATAAACTGTGCTCCAAGGAGCTACTTGCTGGAGCTTTAATAAAGCGGCCTCCTGAATGCACGAAGTAGAGGAAGAATCACTCTTCCAGAGGGCAACCTTTCTCTTCAAGGGCTGATGCTTTTCATGGGTTGCCTCTGTCTAATTTCACAGCCCTTAGTTTTGAGTGACTTCATTGAAAGATGTCTCCTCACAAAGCATCACCCACAGGTAGAGGAGTACTTCCAACTTGGTCTTGGTTTGGCTAACTGTCAATAAAGGGTTTCGGTGTTTCTTGGTTAAGTCATTCGACACTGTGGTCTAGCCTGACCAACAGAAGATGAATACAAGGCTCTGAGGAGAGTTGCGCTGCAGTTCCAATTCATCCTGATGCATTGCTGCCATTTTTACCTTGCAATTAGAGCACCTAACTCAATCCTTGCTGTTCCCCTAGTGAGAAATCAGCATCAACGCGCTGCTACCGGGACCTTCTAAAGTTCCCCTACTAAGTTACAGTCAAGGACACGCTCCCTTTCAGCTTCGCTGGGCTTAGCATTTGTTCAGTTAGCAATAAATGGCCCTTGATACCAGACAAAATGAGTGAGATTTTCAACCATTTATTTTTGGTTAACTAATGTCAAGAGACACCTCACCTAGTTTTTGGAAAGTAAATGCAAGTGGCAAGTGTGTGTGAGTTTGTGTGTGTGCACGTGTTCATGGATTTCTATTATCCTATTTCCATCGGTGACCCTGCTCCTGCCCAGAGACTAACATAAGCTCCTTTACCATGGAAAATTGTTTTCGCACATGCAGTTTAAGGGCATAATGAGTGCAAAAAAGAAAGTTGTTATGTGGATTGGGATGAGGTGGGGAAAGGGGTGGGAGACAACAAAAGCAATGTTAGCTCATAGACATCAACACAAGCACAGAACCACATGGTCAAGAGTCCTTCAGCCCTGAGAGAAATCACTCCTGCCCCACGACTTCCCACTGAGACTCCATCAGTGTCCATCAGTGTGGGCACACAGCTTACGACACTTCCTGATGATGGCAACGGCTTTGGCGACTGCTGTGTTTCAGGAATGCTGGGTTATCTTTGTCTTGGAAACTCTCCTTCACTAAAACTGGCTTCTCCCCGAGGACCCTGTGCTCTGACACCCTTCTTGTTCTATCTCTCCTATGCTCTCACACTTGCAGAATCCAAGCCTCATTTCATTTGAGTCTCTTATTTCTGGACACACAGTGATGGTCATCTGGATATAATGAACTAGGGAGCCCCAGACAGAGTTCACTGAATCCCCAAAGCCTAATGGGCTCCATGGGCACTGGTCACACTATGGCAAAGATGATGTTCGATGGGAAAGGGGCAGGGCCCACGTGCACATTCCCCAAGACACAAACAGGAGGGCCATGAAGCCAGCCAGCTTACTGCCATCGTAGTTCAGCGTAGCGAAGTTGGCCTGCTTCTCGGCGCAGCCAGCACTGTTGCACACCCGCATCTGCAGCTCATACCAGGTGGCTTCCTGCAGGTCATACAGGATGTAGGACTTGGAGAGAGAGGTCCTCTGAGCTGTGGTCCAAACTGTAGTCCCAAAGGGCCTGTACTCCAGTGTGAAGGAGGTGATGGGGCAGCCGCCATCATTCCAGCCAATGAGGTTCAGCCTCACGCGCGTGGTGTTGATGCTGGCAAACAGCTCCTGCTCCTTTGAGAACTGGGGCTCTGCGGGAGAAGGCACATGGAGGTCAGCTCACAGGACACATGGGGAGGCCATCAGCATCTTCACGCACTTCCCTCAGACTGCTTCCTCCAGCGAGGCCAGGAGCTCAGTTCAAGTCTGGCTCACAGGCACTGGCAACTTGTCCCATTAATAGAGACTTTATGGACCAAGAGGCTTTCTCCAACTGTAATGACCTGGGTGTGTGAGGTAAAATTGCACGGGCAGAGGTTATTTTGGGGTATCTTAGAGTTCCCTAAAGAACAATGCGACGTTCACGTATGGGTTTCCTTCTGTGGTTTGCGCTGCAGTGGGCTGGGCTGACCTTTTTCCATCCTCATGTGATGAACCTGACTCAAGAGAAGACAGAGTTGGATTTGGGAAGCACCAACAGATTTTCCTCCACAACTAAACACTTGGTCTTGGAGCCCAGGGACCTAATGGATATATTTCTGCATAAATCAATCCCAGATCATTTGACCTCTTACCACTTGTTACTCAAAACTGTGGCACCGGGGACAAATAATACCCTTGCCATCTCATTACTCGCTCTCCTGCCATCTGACCCCACCCCACCTGATAGGACTCCCATGGGAGGGAAGCCCGCAGAGACATCTCCTCACCTTCTCCCTATGCTCACACAGAGCTGCCTCACCCCGCCTTCCTTCTGGAGTTCCTGGGACAAAACCTCTTTCTCTGAATATCATTTCCTTGGGGTTCATCTCCTTGAAGGTCCACATTGTAGATTAAAAAAAAATGCAACTCATTTTGAAATGTTAACAATTTACCCATCATTTTCCCTCTGAAAAGCAGGGGCTATGTGGCAATGCAGAAATGATAGGAAGGTGGGGGTATGGGCTGGCTAAGGGAGAACAGGGCCTCAAAACGGCTGACAGGGCAAGTGTCACGTTTCATGGCTGTACAGCCTTGGCACCTCACGTTCACCACGCTCTTGATTTTCAAATGACATTCTTCTCTTTAACTGCAAATGAAACAATAAAAGAGAGGACCAGAACACTCTGGAAGGTCCAGCTGTCCCTCTCATTATGCTGTGGCACTGCTGAAGCCATCTGAGGAATGACAAAGTTCAAACACATAAACATAAAACATGATGGATCTTTTATGACTCCAATCTCCCCTTCTGGCTGGGAAAACGGAGGATATTTAGAAGCGACGAGAAGGCACACCTACCTTTTCCTAAGGTCTTTGCTTCTATGATTTCACTTATACGCCCTGGGCCCACTCCGTTTTGGGCTGTCAGTGTGAACTTATACCAAGTCCCACATTTGAGATTTTCCAAGCGGTAGGAACGTTCGCTGGGGCTGATTGGAAAACTCCCCCACTGCTCACTGTTGTCCTCAGAGTACTGCAGTATGTATCCTGCAGAGAATAAGAAAGATTCACATAGCACCGTTTGCTTTCTATGGGAAGTGGGTTGACGTTTACATTTTGTGTGTGTAATAGAATGAACGTTCTCAGAACTGAAGAATCTTCAGAAGGAACATTTTCACTCTTTCTGACTCCAGGAAATTTAACCCAGCCTGGGAGAAGCACCATGATGTATTGATTAGTGAGTCATTTGGGCCACACCAGACATTATCACTGCAAAGTATTGCTGGATAGTGTGGTCAAAATTAAACCACTTTTCTGCTCATTCTCTTCTAAAAGCCATATTGGGCAGCAGGGAATACTAAGTTGCTAAGTATCTGCCCCTCAGATCTTACGTGCCTGAATCCTTGAGTGCAGACGTAGGCTGAAGCTGAGATATTTTTGCAAGACCTGAATCTCTGGGAAAGGGACACGTTATCAATGGGAGTAGAGATTTCCTCAACTGCCTCACTTCTCATGCACTCCTGGTCTCACAATCCATAGACACTAGGAGAAACAACTCCAAGTCTTGTAGTCATTCCAATATTCTGACAGTAACCTGGCTTCTCTTTAGTTTGAAAAATTCCTCCAACAATTCATTCCTCCACAGGACCACTGCCTCTACTTTTACAACTACTAACGATGACTGTCCACTCTTGAGCACTCACTCCATGCCAAGCCCTGTCCTGAGCCCTTTGCTTACAGGATTTCTGCAAGTCTATGGAACAGTGATGACTCTCCCCTACTGAGATCCAGAGCAGCTAAGTGGTGAGTCCCACGTGCAGAAAGGAGGACACAGACCCTTCAGTCAGCCTGAAGCCCATGCTCTTCACCCCCGTGAATGCTGAAATATTCTTCCTGTTAGCTCCTTCATCCCTGTTATCTACAGCCATGTTCCTTCTCCACCCTGGCTAGCTGGCCTGGAATATGGTGTCTTTGCAACAACGGGTTGGTACCTTCTATTCCTGTCCTGTGGAGCTCCATTTTAATAAAAAAAAAAAAAAAAGCATTTTTTTCCCTGCACACTACAGTGTCTCCTAAACCCAAATGGGCAGGTTTGCTGATTTCCACACTCATCTCTGATGCCTCCTTCCGAGGTCACGGTCAGTGTCTTCCCTACTCCTTTCAGCCTTCCCTCCCCACTGGACTTCTGTAGCCATAGGGTCCCTGCTCCTTCCTGAGCCTTTGTGTTCCTCATCTGACCTCCGCAAAGCTCCTTCAGTACCTGACAGGTGATATCTGTGCACCTGCTCCCAGCCACATCCCAGCCTGTATTCCAGCTGCCCTACACATTATAGGGATTCCGCTTTCCTCCCACTTTCCACCCTTGAAGTCACCTCAAAAAACTCCTCTAATCCTTGGTGATAGGCCTGTATAGTTCCCTGTCCCCTGCTATCATCCTCAGTGCCATCAGTGTCCATCAGTGTGGGCACACAACTTACGACACCTCCTGATGATGGCAATGGCTTTGGCCACTATGGTGTTTCAGGAATGTTGGGTTATCTTTGTCTTGGAAACTCTCCCTCACTAAAACTAGCTTCATCCCGAGGGCTCTGTGCTCTGACACCCCTCTTATTCTACCTCTCCCATGCTCTCACACTTGCAGAATCCAAGCCTCATTTCATTTGAGCCCATCCCCAGATGCCCCCCGTTTTTTTCCTATAAGAAGGTTCTCTAGTCAGCCTGGAACCTTTGGTAGGCCATTTCAACAAGGAGCCTCGTTTCTCCCACTCTTTAGACTTCTGGTCATGCTTATGTTACTGGTAATCTGTGATCCACTTTTCTTCCCAGCTGTCCAGAATCATTTAAGAAAGTCATTAGGCCAAGTGCGGTGGCTCAGGACTGTAATCCCAGCACTTTGGGAGGCCAAGGCACGTGAATCACGAAGTCAAGAGATTGAGACCATCCTGGCTAACATGGTGAAACCCCGTCTCTACTAAAAATAAGAAAAATCAGCTGGATGTGGTGATGCATGCCTGTAGTCCCAGCTACGTGGGAGGCTGAGGCAGGAGAATCACTTGAACCCAGGAGGCAGAGGTTGCAGTGAGCCTAGATCACACCGCTGCACTCCAGCCTGGGCGACAGAGTGAGACTCCATCTCAAACAAAACAAAACAAAACAAAACAAAACAAAACAAAACAGAAGAGAAAGTCATTAAACTGTGATAATTGTGACTCCTACAATTTGTGCTGTGCATCTGCAGCTGGGTCCTTGTAGCTTCTTGGCAATGACTTTGTTCATCTATTAATGACTCCCTGTGCATTCCACAAGGCAGCTGTTACAAACCTATCCCATGATCCTCAAATCCATAGACACATCCTCACCACTATTTTAAAAAAAAATCACCTCACTTTTTCTTTCCTGAAAAAAAAAATGAAAAGAAAGAAAGATCTTCCCTTCACCCATTGGAATGCTGATAAAAGTCTAACAACTGGTTCTTGGAGAGGAGAAAAAAGGCTCTTATTTGTAGCATTTCTGATTTCCATGGTGAGGGAATGTTCTTAGGATGGCTGTGGCTACTGAGTGCAAAGCTGGGAAGGGATGGGGCACTCCACTCTTGGAGCCGGAAGGAGCTGATCCAGCACACCACTGAAGTCACTCTGAATTGCTCTTGACTTCTGGTTTACTTCCCAGCCTTCCTTCTCTCTCAGAAGAAAGGGTGTTCTCTGCCTTAGGAAGTCTAAGCCCCTATTCTCTCTCCCCAGCCCTGGGACCTCTTTTATGGCTCAGGCCCTCTTTCCTGTGTATCTTCTGTCTCTAGCTTAACTCCACCTACACTAGAATGATCATGTTCACTCCTTCCATATAAACCTCATTTAGGCCGCGTGTGGCGGCTCACGCCTGTAAGCCCGGTACTTTGGGAGGCCGAGGTGGGCAGATCACCTGAGATCAGGAGTTCGAGACCAGCCTGGCCAACGTGGCAAAACCCCGTCTCTAGTAAAAATACAAAAACTAGCTGGGCGCAGTGGTGCGTGTCTGTAATCCCAGCTACTTGGGAGGTTGAGGCAGAAGAATCCCTTGAACTGGAGAAGTGGAGGTTGCAGTGAGCCAAGATAGTGCCATTGCACTCCAGCCTGGGTGACAGAGTGAGACTTCATCTCAAAAAAACAAAACCTTGTTTATATACCTCAACTGTGAACTAATTGCAAAGGCTTTGTGCAAATAGATTGTTTTACATGTACACTTTAGGTCTTCTGTCTTTTATTACTTTCTAAGTCAGGACAGTACGTATGGTTACATAAATGAATGACATTGTGTTGACAAAATAAAAAAGAAACAGTATTTAGAATCTCAAAAAAGAGATGCCCAAATTTCTTTTTTCTTCCTTTCTTGCAACTGTTGATATTTCACTCTGTGAATAAGCATCCTTGGATGAATGATTTGAGTTTCAACACATATCCTAAAAATAGATGCATGGTTTCTGTCTTAGGTAATGGAGAGACTGTTTATATGTATTTTTTGGGGAGAATAAACTAACACATACCAGTCATTTGCTGAAGATGTGTCACTTATTGGCATGTGGATCACACAACTAATCAACTCTTGTGTACAATCTCTATCTTATTACCTCTGATGGAGCTGCCCCCGTTGTCTCCAGGGAGCCAAGAAAGGGTGATGGAGGAAGACGTGGTCTTGGAGACTGTAAGCCGAGGCTGATCTGGTGGAACTAGAGAGGAAACAGTTTTTAGAAAACAAGAATTAGTTTTTTCACATCTTTAATTTTCCTGAACAGTCATTTACCAACTCATTTTTAACAGCCACTTATTAAATAAGTGTTTTAGATTGCCAAAATAAGCAATTCACTTCTGTCAAAATGTCTATTTAGTTGATATCCTGGGCTAAAGAGATAGAACAGAGTGAATCTATTATTTTTTTTAAAAAATCAGCCACATTTCTTCTTGGATTCATATCTAACGCATTTCCTCACTAGTTCCTTGACTGACTGAGTTATTCATCACTAATTGAAATCTTCTTTAAACTAACTAAGTATACATGCCTCATTTTACTATGAATTTCTGCCATGAAATTTAAATGGAAAAGATAAATGGCATCCACTTAGCAGTTCTGTTCTTCTCAGGATGGGAAAGGGGAAGGAGGAAAAGTAGCTAGTGGGAAAAAGAATTGGAAAAGTCTTCACTTTCTAAGCTATTCCTCCAAGATGCAACACACACACACACACACGCACACACACACATACACACACCCCTCTGAAAATCAAAAGCAGGCCTTTGAACTGCAGAACATGAACTGGTCTCTCTTACAAGGCTTGTAGAATACATACTGGTAAATAAGTCTGGACCAGTTCTGAGGACAGAAACACTAAATTCAGAATCAGGTTATCCAAATCATATAGAAAGCTTCATATAAAGCTTCATATAAAATTCCCTTCTCTTTTCCTCCGAGAGAAGCCTGATATATTGGCCTATCTCTTTAGAGTCATAATATAGTGCCTGTCTTCCAAAATGCCCTCGAATTATCCTGACTTCAATTAACTTGAAATTCAAGATCAATTTTGCAGTATTTTTAGGAATATAGTCCTTTTCCTTTCCTTCTATCCCACTGAGAACAGTATTGATTTTACTTTTACTTGCTGTAATCTATTAATGTGACAACACCTAAATCCAAAGAGGCACACACTTTGATTTTTCTACTAATAAAATATTGCTGTGCATACAAATCTGAACTCAATCAGTTATTGATCGGGATTTACACAAAATTTTCATATGACAATCTTTTGAAGTTGTGCACATTTTGTGTATGATATCAAGAAAAATACTTAGTATTAAATACATAGCTAAATATTATAGAAATCTAGTTAGAGCTCCAGTCACTGTCATTTTATAAAGTACACTGCATATACAAATGGGGTTAATTAGCATATGAAAAAGACCACAATTCAGACTTGTTTTTTGTTTGTGTTTTCTGGGGATACACTTACACATATGAAAACAGTGCAATTAATGGAAATTAAGAAGGACTTTTTTAGACATGCACGCATAAAGAAAAAAGAGACTAGGCATTCTGTATGCAAAGATGTTTTGTATCTTGGTATTTCTGAGGCTGTGAATGCTTTTTATTTTCTTTGATTTGTTTACATTTTGCAAAATGAACATGTGGTTGTTTTCTGTAATATGAAAACAGAGATTAGCTCTTTATAAGGGCTGATTTTAAAATGTGTTCAATGTTACCCTTTGCATACAAAGTGTACATGTAAAAGATATCATTAAAAAGAGTCCTCAGATGTTGTACCTTGTACTTGTAAGTTTAAAATAATTTCATCAGATCCCCAGTTGTTATTGGCGATGCAGCTGTAATAGCCAGAGTCTTCTGCTTTCACTGTGCGAATAATGAAGCTTCCGTTGCTAAAGATGCTCCTCCGCCCATCAATCGTTACTAGACTGGGTGTCCCGTTACTGCCTCACAGGAAGAAAAATGCACAGATTAAAGAAATTACAATCCAAATTAGCTGAGGTTGGGGAAAAGCATAAAGACTCTCTGTGAAGCAAACAACACGTCTGAAAGCTTCATATTTCTTGCATTATGAAAGAACTAAATATGATTACATAATGAAAACAATCAATAGCTGTGTAGCTGAAGGTTTCCTTTGTAAAAAATGTTATGTTGAAGACGAGATCTGCGTCAAGGGCCCAGATTCTAGCTCAGGTCAATGGGCTCCTCATCCATGCCAGAGACTGATGGGTCCTTCTTTACTCCATTCTGTGAGCACTGGAGATCTCCTCATTTTGGCAATTCTGGGAATTTCTTCTGTAGGCAGAAGCGCCAGTTTGAACAAATCATACAGGGGAAACTAAACCTTGGGATCATTTTTAGATTCACTGAAAGTCACAATTATTCATGATTTTGTCATGAAAAATGACATGTGATATCTCAAGAGGGTGATGAGTTTACCCCAGTATGAAAAGAACTGCGTGGCCATCATAACCACTGCTCCAGTGGCAGACTGTCCAGTCCTCTGGGGTCATTCGCACAATAGGCAGAATGCCAGCTTGGCCTTGGGAGCTACATATTTCATTTGGATGAACCAACTTTAAATGCATGAGAAAAGTGGTCACTAAACCAAGCCATTATTATTTCTACAGTTTGGTCACTACACCAAGCCATTATTTCTATAGTTTATGCCTTCTAAGTGCTTTTGCTTGAAAACAGGCTTTTTTCTGAATCCATTATATCACATTTCTATGCTCATAAATGAATTTTCAACCCTTTACATATATCCTAATTTCTTCTCCCGAATAGAGATAAAGCACTTTAAAAAGTTATATGGACAGACCACATCTCACTCACTCTCTCCCTCTATCTCGGCTCCTATTATTTTAATAATTACTATTGAGTATGGAGAACCAGATTTGAAATTAGCAAAGTCCTAATGTACTCCATTTCTTAAAGTCCTTTCTCAAGGTATTTGAGTTATGGTTAGTTCGCTATCTTTAAAGAAGAAGAGATAGATGTTAAGTCACACAATAACCTTGGGTACATTCATCTCAGTTACATGGACAATTTATCTGAGAGGGTACAGCAAACGTCCACAATAATTGAGTTGGTTTGACTATTTTCCTTGCAAGCATTCTCTCATGAATTAAAAGGCTCTGAATTAACAGAGGGTTGATACAATAAATCAGACCCTTTCAGTGCTAAAGCCGAGATTTCTTCCCTGCCCTCATCTCAGAAGAATTGGTAGGTTTCCTTGAGTTTTCACTGATATAAACAAACACAAAATTAGAAGACCACTAGACCCAACCTAAGTATGTCAGATGTAATCTCTTAGAGTTTCACTGAAGGCATACATTGGGTTACTGGTTACCTGTCTTTCATCCATTTGACCGCAGGAGAAGGGTCCCCAACAGCCTTACAAGGCAAGACAATGTCTTTCATCCATGGAGTAGTCACTGTCCCACTGAAGGTCAGGATTCGCGCAGGAGCTGAGGAATCAAACGAAGTGGACGCCTGATTACGCGTCTGCACAGAGGCCAACGTGACCTACTCAATAAGGGCAATACCCAAAAATGGATGTGAAGCCAAGTCACATTACAACTGTCCACGCTACTCCCTGGTACCTGGGTTATGAGGAATTGTCATTGTAAGAACACACAACTCGCAGAAAATTCCCATTGTAGCATTTGTTTTTCTTTTATTGACTAAACATGAGGAGTCCAAATTAAATATTTGGGGCTTCATAGGCCAAGCAGCTCCAAGCTGTGTTTTCTATGAGCCCAATTACTTCTCAAAGCACTTTATGAAGCAATTTATCTCAACACAAAAACTGCTCATGAAAATATACTTTAATATCAGAGGAAGTAGACAATACAAAACACAAAGGCCCCAAAGACGGGAAGGAGTAAAACTGGAACAAGTTCTACTTATCAATTTCCCGACTGTGTTATAGCAACTTGATCTCTAGGACACACATTAAGGAGAATGAACATTTTCAGAGTGGCCTCTCTCGAAGAACAACCATTTGCTTGGGACAGTGATTCAGATGCCCAAACAGGAGCATCTGCCAGGGGCATCTGGTGCTGGCATGGCCCCAAGGTAGCAGGAAGTCCCAGGAGACAAGGAAAAAAGCTCATGGTGAACTTGCCTTGAAGTCCAGTGTGGCCAGCAATGAGAGGTTCTAGTACTACCTCCATCAGTGAGTCACAAAAGCTGACAGGGACGCCACACGCAAGTCTTCTAGAGGAACACAATCTGCTCAGTCTGTGTCATACATTGGGACATTACTTTCTGGGGCATAAACAGGAGCCAGGGGCTTCTCCTGTCCTTTGTTTTAGCCAGTATGTTTCAGACACTGTCATGGAGCTGGGGACATAGAGGAAACAGGTGCCCCTATGGGAGCTCACCCTCAATAGATGCACAGACCAAAAACCACAGGTGGCAGGCAGCCTTGATCTGATTCAGAGCCCATAAAAATGGGGCCAATGTGAGACCCCTGCACCATTTCTGGGTTGAGGGTTTGCACTGGCAAAGGAAGGTGAGAGGGCTCCCCCAGGGAAGCTCTAGAATCCCAGGAAGGGCAGAGTACCCGGAGCCAAGTCATTATGCAGCCATCCTAGTATAGAATACCCACATTAGCCACTAGGATCTACCAGATCAAATCATACATTTATGCTTCTGGGCACTGTGAGCAAGAGTAGAGAGAAAAAGGAAATGCCAGAGGGCTTAGAAGCTAGACCTTGTTTTTTGTTGCAGCAAAACCCATGTTTCAAGCAGTTTCCGCAGACTGAGATGAAGTATTCTAAGGCAGGGCTCATTTCATCAGTCATTGACGTTGCTGATTTTGCATCATGATAACAAAAAGGTCCTGATTAGGCAGCATCAGATTTCCCGCACTGGTAGCTTTTGGCATTTTCTTTTTCACACTCTTCAGACAGTTCCTTAGAGAGTGGAGAATGTCCTCAGCAGTAAAAGGCGGGTGGCTAGAGAAATTCAGCTAGAGTTATGGGCTTTCTGGCTTTTTAACAGTCAGCCACTTTAAGAAATACGTTTTACATCAAATTCCAGAAGCTACACATGCATTGGGATGTTTGTGTGAGTGCAAACAAAGTTGCCTGAATAAAGACTTCACTATATGTGATGCATTATGATGTTTTCTCCCCTTTCTTAACCCTAGTTTAGTCTAGTCTAGTTGATTTGACTCTGTTCCATTCTATTCCATTGTTGTTCTTTAACATTCTGGGCATAACCCCTCCAATTAACTCCAGGACTTACGAATGCTTTTCCATTAGCAATTTTAAAAATACAAGCTAGAGCTACTTCATCTTCAAGCCCAACAACCTCCAATGCTATAGCCCAATGCCCATTTTAGACAGTTGAAATTTAAAGGGTCTCTAGCCAGAAATGTCATGACTGGGCAACTCAACACACTAGACCTGGGGCAGCCAAGAGAATCCCCTAGAATCTTTGTTTAAAATGCAGGTTCCCACCATGGCCTTGTGGATTCAGCAGGTCTTTCGTGTGCTTGGGACATCTGCCTTTTGACAAGTATCCCAGGTGATTCTGATGAGAAACTGAATCCCTTTGCAACCTGTGTCCCCTCTGATTTGGGTCCTGTTTGTTCTCAGCCATGGGGCCAGATTCTCTGTGCCTCGTTCATGTCCTGGACCCCTTCCTAGGAGGAGCTTCCCCCAGGACCAGTGCCATGGCCCCATTCTGCCACTCCCTCCATAAAAGCAGTGGTCTTCCTCTTCTTCAATCTATATCTGAATTTCGGACCCTCTTACCTGTCGCTAGACTGCTGCTGGTCTGCCTTGACTTCCAAACAAGTACAGAATAACCTGTCTCAGTCTCCTCTGCTGTGGACATCCCCACCCCTCTAGGATGGGCCTTTCAGCCTTAATGGTTTGCCAGTGTCTGGGCTTCTGGGTGGGGACTGCCCAGTTGATTATCTGCTCCATCCTGGGGCACTCCCTAGCTTATCCCCGTTCCAGAAAACCTACCTACAGCAATCCTAACCCTGAGTCAACCTCCCTTAAGCATGAAAAGTTGAACCTTTCTGGAAAAAATCCATGCACTAGAGTACTTGGAGATTGACCACCATTAAGGATCACCAACCTCAACTGAACTGTCAGTACTTCCTGCCGGTCTTACTGTTTCTTTAGTAAATGTCCTCCCCGTTCCCTGCAATGATGGCTTCCTACTGTCCCTCCTCTTCTCACACTTCTGGGCTGCCCTCCACCATCCCCAAGTTGCCTAATGCTTCAGGGACACCATCCAGGAATCCTGCATTTCCAGTCACCAAATCTGTGAACCCACTGGCATTTCCTCCTCTAAACTTCAGAGCTGTGGTTATGAGCTCTTTCTTATGTATTGTTGACGTCTCCTTTCTCCCTCTCTACTGGGATCTTCCCATTACCACACAAACATGCTCTGATGGCAGGCCTCATGAAAAAACAATGAACCCAGAGCCTTTCCTCCAATGAGACCCTCTCACACCTCCAAGCTTCTTCTCTTGGTTGTCACTTCTTCCAGGTGATGTGTGTTGAAGGAATGTTCTGCCCAGTCAGCCTGCCCCTCACCTCCTACCCACTTTCTCACCTGACTCAGGCTCATTTCTGCATGCCCCTCCACACTCACTGACACTGCTCACAGAAAGGTCACCACGGTCCTCCACGTGGCCAAACTGAGGGGCATTTTTGCCTGGTTTCACCTGACTTTCCAGCAGCAGCAGCCTCAGCTGACCGCTCCCTCCTTTTGCAAGCACTTTTTTTGAATCTGCAGCTTAACACCCTCCTGGCTCCCCTGCCTCTCTGGCTTTTCCCCTTTTCCTTTCCCTGCTCCCACTCCCTTTGAGAGGCCATCCTGTACCTTCATCTCTCCTCCATCTCTCAGCCAATCTCATTCCTAACCCAGGTGTAAGGGATACCCAGATGCTGACCCCCCTGAATTCCTGCCTCCTTCCAGATGTCTCTTGAGAGCCAGGACACACCTCAGTGCATAGACACCTCTGAGTGAATGGCTCTTCGTCATGTTGGAACCCCTCCAAATGCCCGTGCCTCCTCTCACTGGCTTCAAAATCCACTTCTTCCATGGTCTTCTTCATCAATAAATCATGCCTCCACTTATTCTAACCCACATGAGAATTTGGGTTTTCATTCTTGCTATCTCCCTCTCCACCCTCTTCCATTTCTGCCACCGAGTCTCCTCTGCTCTGTGTCCACAACACAGCCCAGGCCCCTCGGCTTCTCCTCTCAATCCTCTTTGCTACTCTGCTACTCCAAGCCTCACTGGGTGACCCCTTGGCCTCCTTGGTGGGCATCTGCTTTTCTCACCCTTCCCCCTCTGCAGTCCATTCAAGACAGAGAGATCAGGGTGGTCTTAAAAAGCACATCCACTATTGACTGGGCGCAGTGGCTCACGTTTGTAATCCCAGTGCTTTGGGAGGCCAAGGCAGGCAGATCACGAGGTCAGGAGATCAGAACCATCCTGGCCAACATGGTGAAACCCCATCTCTACTAAAAAGAAAAAAATGCAACAATTAGCTGGGTGTGATGGTACGTGCCTGTAGTCCCAGTTACTTGGGAGGCTGAGGCAGGAGAATCGCTTGAGCCTGGGAGGCAGAGGTTGCAGTGAGCCAAGATGGCACCACTTCACTCCAGCCTGGTGACAGAGCAAGACTCTGTCTAAAAAAACAAAACAAAACAAAACAAAACAAAGCACACCTGCCATTAACTATAAGAAAGGCACCATTTAATTAGGATGTCTATAAAAAGGAAAACTAGGTGTGAGGTAAATGGCAACTCTGTATTCTGTCATCACAATTTTTCTGTAAGTCTAAAACTGTTCTAAAAAATAAGGTTTATCACACAGAGACAGACACACACACACACACACACACACACGCACACAAAGATCATGTGCCTCCTTTGCTTAAAATCCTACACTGTCTTCTTATCTCTCTTATGGGAAAATCTGAAATCCCTAACACAGTGTTGAAAACCTAGCATGATCAGGCCCCTGCCTTCCTTCCCAGCATCTCTGGGACCACTGTTCCTTCCCCGGCCCCAGCAGGGTCCAGTGTCCTGGACTTCCCCCTGCTAAATCTTTCTCTGAAGGAGCTTCTGACTGCTCACTTCTTCCCTCTTCACATAACTGCCTTTGCTTGTCCTCAGGGACCAAGTGTGTCTTCCATCTGACACTCCGGGTGAGGTCCTCTCACGCCATTTCTTTATAGCACTGACTGCAGTTTGTCTTTTACTTTTGTGATGCTTTGTCTACTAACTGTATTAGTCTGTTCTCATGCTGCTAATAAAGGCATGCCTGAGACTGGGTAATTTATAAAGGAGAGAGGTTTAATGGACTCACAGTGCCACATGACTGGGGAGGCCTCACAATTATGGGAGAAGGCAAATGAGGCGCACAGGGCATATCTTAGGTGGTGGCAGGCAAGAGAGCATGTGCGGGGGAACTCCCCTTTACAAAACCATCAGATCTCATGAGACTTACTGTTATGAGAACAGCACAGGAAAGACCCGCTCCCATGACTCAATTACCTCCCATCGGATCCCTCCCATGACACGTGGAAATTATGGGAGCTACAATCCAAGATGAGATTTGGGTGGGGACACAGCCAAACCATATCACTGACTGGTTCCCCACCAGACTGTAAGATCAAGGGAGTCAGGGAGTGAACACATCTCTTAGATCATCTTAAGAGACTCCTCTGGGCTCTCCAAACCCTGCTTTCCTTTCCCTAGTGGGTCCATCCCTTTATTCTAGACAATAGGATATTAGTAAAAATAATATATATACTTCCATATCTGGCTCATGAAAACCTCTAATCAAACCCTCCATACTCCCTTCTTCCCCCATCAATGTAGCTTTAAATGAGGAGAAATCCAGGGTTGTAAATCATAAGGTGGAAGAGGCCTGGATCCCTGAAACACCATGTGGAACAGGCCACCCAAGAGAGCCCTGACCAAAAATATCTCTGTTGGACTATGTTATTATGTGAAGCCACTGAGATTTAGGGAACATTTGTTTCAGCAGTCAGCCTCCCTTGACCAAATCCTCTGTGTCCCCAGCACAGACCCTGACATGCAACAGGCACTCAAAATGACTTATTAAATGACTAGAGGACATTGAACTTCCCCAGGCAAGACGTGCTTCTATGGGAATTTTCAACTCTTCCCCCACTGAGTAAGTCATACCCCACTGCACTAGCCAGGCCTTTCTGACTGTGTCGAGAGATAGAACCTTGAAAGCACAAAGGAAAGGAAGAAATATTATTGCTAATTCTATGTGTTTTGTTGCAGTTTTTTTTTTTTTTTTTTTTTTTGGTAAATCACACCGCTCAGTCCTTAAGTCCAACATTTTCCTTGGTAATCATCATTTTCTCAATCTCAGGGAGTGGCTGAATATCATGACCAAAGAGGGTAACACAAAAAATAAGTCCCCCCAGTTTATTTCCCTTACCAACTTACTTATTTTCTATCTGTATTTGAGCTCAAAATGTGACACCCCTCTTTTTTCCCCTCACTGTTTTATTCTGCCTATTTCTTAACTATCTCATTGAAAAGCACATTATCAAGAGAATTCTTGGAGGTAAAATTGGAATCTTGGAATGTTTATTGTTCTCTTTCTGGCTCTCAGAGGACATATTAGTGGCAACATATAGTAATAAGTTGCCACTATTCTGTAGCCCCAAATCAGGGGCAACTCCTGCTGGCCTGGAATTGTGTTATAAGGAAATTGACTTATCGTGAGTGCTAATTTAGGGGGTTCCTGGAAACACTGGATGGTAGTGACTACCAGAAGAGCAAGAATGCCCTGTGCCTGCACGTGCATTTTAAGGACCAGTCTAACAGAAAAACGTGAAGATATTATATTCACTTTCAGGAACTTTTTATTCTTTGGTGACTCCTACTTCCTGCTGTTACTTCAAGTCTTTGCTTATAGCATTCTATCAACAGATAGTGAACGATTTTCAAATATTTTTTAGCTTGCAAATTTCAAAGACTTTAAAATAGACATTTCTCATTAAGAAGTGTGATACCTGATTTTGGTGAAAGTAGAACATCCCTGGGAAAATGCCATGTAATGATTTTCAGCTACTCCAAGGGGTGAATGGGGTTTCCTTTCCTGATTTTCAGATACTTCCATCGTAAGGCCACTCATTCTTAGCTCTGTGTTTACCCCCATGGAATTCCTTTCCCACGGGACAGAAGCTCAGAGCTTGCTAGCCACAACCCTGTTTCTTGAGCTAAAATGTGATATTCTGGTTTATTTAATTTTTAGGGACGTGTAAGTTTTATTTCAGGTAAAATAGAGACTTAAAAACAGTCAAGTTACAACAGGAAATGAGGTCCTTACTGCCACTGCCTACCTTTCGCTAATGGCTCGACTGTGATGATTTCACTGCTGTTGCCTCTTCCAGCTGAAGTCACAGCCACCACCCAGACGCTGTACTGACGATTCCTACTCAGGTTGGGAATTCTGTAGGAAAACGAGTCGGGAGAGGCCTCAAACTCGCTGATCACCTGTGAAAGGAGACATAAGTGTTCCCACATTCAAAGAAGCATGTGGCAAAAATGGATTTCCCGAGGGAATGGTCATGAACATATTAAATATCATAACAAACAAAACTCACAACTCACTCCCCTCTAAAAGGCTGGCTTTGCAATATAAAATATAACTGGTGAGTTTAACTGAGCCACCATCTACATTTTTCTCTGTAGCAGCTTTGACGGCCACCAATAAATAATTTATCCCTTTACATTACAGGCCACAGCACTTCTATATTTGGCTGAGATGGAGTAAGAAGAACCAGATTTACCCTCCTACCTGAGACAACTGAGGAACACACACCACATATAAAACAATGGTTCTAAAAGCATTGCACATCAGGTAATAAATGACAGTGATCTCTGAACAATGGGAAACAAAAGAAGAAAACCCCACAATCGCAGAGTTTTTGCATTTTTTAGGGCAATGTGAATTTTATTTCTGATAAAATAGAGAGTTCTGCCTCCTCAACTCAGGAGCCTGGCAGCCTTTCCAAGCTGAGGAGGCAGAGCTGAGAGCCTGAAGGAAGCTAGAGTTCACAAGGAAGAGCACTGGAAAGAGAGCTACACACAAAGGACAAGCTCTGGAGATTGAAGAGGGTCTGACTTGGGTATTCAGCTGAGCAGATCCATGGATGTGTGTGAGGAAACTACCTGAGGCCAGGGAAAGAACCACCTGAAAGAACTGGAGGTCACAGTGCCTGACACTCACACAGGGCTGGGAGTAGTGGCTGTTCCCACCAGTTGGGTTGGAAAACATCAAGATTCATCATGCTTTGGGTATAGTGCATAAGGGTCTTACCACAAAGGGGAAATAATTAGCCCCAGACTGAATACCACTCTAGTCTTTCCTAATTATTCTTAAAAGCAAGACTTAGAGAGAGCAAATTATTCCCAAGTAACTTAACTACACCCAAGAATAAAGGTCAAGAATATTTATAGAATTTATAGAAATTGAAACATCCAGTACTCCAAAAGGTAAAGTTCACAAAGTTTAACACCTAATAAAATATTTTCACATACAAATAGCCCAAATATCTGTCAACTGATGACTGGATAAACAGAATATGTCATAGCGATACCATGGAGTCTATACTAGTCTGTTTTCACGCTGCTGATAAAGACATACCCGAGACTAGTTGATTTATAAAGAAAAATAGGTTTAATGGACTCACAGTTCCACGTGGCTGGGGAGGCCTCACAATCACAGCAGAAGGTGAAAGGCATGTCTTACATGGCGACAGGCAAGCAAGAATAAGGCCAAGCAAAAGGGGTTCCCCCTTGTAAAACCATTGTATCTCCTGAGACTTATTCACCACCACGAGAATGGTATAGAGGAAACTGCCCTCATGATTCAGTTATCTCCCACTGGGTCTCTCCCACAACACGTGGGAATTATGGGAGCTATAATTAAAGATGAGATTTGGGTAGGGACATGGAGCCAAGCCATATCAGAGTGTTATGAGATAATAGAAAAGAATGAAGTACTGATAAATGCTATAACTTGGATAAATCTTGAAAACATTATGCTAAGTGAAAGGAGCCAATTATAAGAAACCACACATTTATGATTCCCTTTATTTAAAATGTTCAGAATAGGCAGATTGATGGCAACATAAATTAGATTACTGGTTGTCAGGCGCAGGGTAGGGGAAGGGGAAAATTGGGAATGACTGCTAATGGGTGTGGATTTTCTTTTCAGGGTGATGAAAATGTTCTAAAATTAGATAGTGGTAAGGGTTGCATAACTCTGTGAATATACGAAGAGCCATTGAATTGTTGAATTTAAAAGTGATTGACATCTCAATAAAGCTGTCATAAAAATTTCCAGGAAAACATAATTCATAAAGAAGAAATCAATCAATCAATCAAAATTCACCATAATTGGCACAGACATTAGATTTATGCAAACAAGGGCAATAAAGTAGTTATAATTGTATTATAGCTATATTATAACTGCATATGTTCAAAAATTTAAGTAGATATGATACAAAGAGACCTAAGTTAAACTTGAAATGAAACACAATGCATGAGATAAAAAATACATTGAACTTGATTAGCAGCAGAGTAGATATTGCAGAAAAAATGATTAGGGAACTTAAAGATGTGAAAGGAAAATAAATCTTGGGGCCCCCAAATCACTAAGCTAAAGGGAAAAGTCAAGCTGGGAACTGCTTAGGGCCAACTTGCCTCCCATTCTATTCAGTCATCCCTCTGCTCACTGAGATAAATGCATATCTGATTGCCTCCTTTGGAAGGCTAATCAGAAACTCAAAAGAATGTAAGCATTTGTCTCTCATCTACCTAGGACCTAGAAGCCCCCTCCCCACTTTAAGTTGTCCTGCCTTTGCTTCAAGTTGTCCTGCCTTTTCCAATGGAACCAATGTTAAAAAATTAATTGATGTCTCATGTCTTGCTAAAATGTATAAAACCAAGCTGTGCCCGGACCACCTTGGGCACATATTGTCAGGACCTCCTAAGGCTGTGTGTCATGGGCACGCATCCTTACTTTGGCAAAATAGACTTCCTAAATTGACTGAGACCTGTCTCAGATACTTGAGGTTCACAAAGACATATTAATAAATGACACATAGAAAACAGAATAAAAAAGTTAACAGGGCATTAGTGAGCTATGGAAAAATATCAGGATGCTTAACATACATGCAGTGAAGTCACTAAACGAGGCGAGAGAGACGGGACCAAAAAAAGGTAGTAAAAAATTGTGGTTGAAAAATTTCCAAATTTGATGAAAACTGTAGCCCATAGAGCCAAGATACTCAGTGATTTCTAGCCATAAGAATATTTAAAAAAAAAACAAAAAAACAAAAACTATACCCAGGAGCATCATAATCACACTACTCAAGAGTTTTAGTTTCAGCGCTAGAGGGAAAATCTTAAAAGTAGCCAGAGAAAGTACATGTTATACAAAGGGGAACAAAGATAAGCACGGCAGCCAATTTCATTTGAAAAACAATCGAGGTAAGAAGACAGTGGAATGATTTCTTTCAAGTACTAAAAGAAAAAAATCAACCTAGAATTCTATATTCAACAAATATATTTCAAAATGAAATTGAATAAAGACTTTTTTCAGATACATAAGAAGCTGAAAGAATTAATCACCAGTAGACCCACATTACAAGAAATGTTAAAGAAAGTCCTTCCAGCAGAAGAAAAATAATACCGGATAGACAGAGACATAAATGTACACAAATAAGCAGAAAAAAGAGGTAATTATATAGATAAATATATATGATCTTTCTTATTTAAATATTATTAAAATATGGTTGATAGTTAAAAACAATACCAATGTAATGTGGATATATAATATAAATAAAAGTAAAATGTTTAACAATAGCACAAAGGTTGGGAGGACAAAATGGAAGTATATGATTATAAGTTTCTTATACTATATGCAAAGTGTGTAATACCACTTGAAAGTACACTACAATGTTAAAAGCATATGCTGTGAATCCTAAGGAAACTGCTGAAATTACAAAATATAGCACAAAATAAAGCTAATGAACTAATAAGATAAATAAAATGGAATTACAAAAAGAAATCCAAAGGAGTCAGAAAAAGAGTGACAAGGGCAACAAGTAGCACAACAGCAGCAGAACTCAAACAGTACTACCACGGATTTAAACATAAACATATTAATAATAATTTTAAGTGCAAATGATCTAAATATATTAAAGGCAAAGATTGTCAGACCTGATAGAAAAGCAATATCCAACTATATGCTGCTTACAAGAAACGTGCTTGAAATATAAAACACAAATAGGTTAAAAATAAAGGAACGGAAGTGATATCCTATGATAACACTAACCGAAAGAAATATGGAGTGGCTATAGTAATAAGAGATAAAATAGATTTAAGAGCAAAGGATATTACCAGTAAGAAAGAGAGAAATTTCATAATGAGAACAGAGGTCAGTTCATCAAGAGAACATAACAATTCTAAACATCTACTCACCTAATATTCACCAATTATTCAAAGATATGAAGCTTGGTTATTAGGTGAAAAAATGTTTAGGATTTATTATTACATGAAACAAAACTAATGGAACTTCAAGGAGACATAGACCTAGATAGGTCAGAATTGTTCCTTAAAAAGCCATGTGGAGTAGGTAGAGCTGGATCCATTTTATAGATCAGGAAACTGAGGTTCAGAGAAAGCAAGTGACTCACTGATGTCACAAGGCCAGACAAGTGCAAAACAATGGTTCCAGCTCAGGGCCTCTGGTCCCAAGTCTGGTGCTGTTTCCTCACACTTTATGCTGTCAATTATAAGTGACCAAAACAAGAAGGGCTTACTTTTACCCTTGCTAGCTTTTCAATAAACCTTACATGCTTCCGCAGGCTGCATAAGTTACAATACCAGCTATGCAGTTAAACAGGGGATTTAAATCTTCACTATATCTCTTAATTGTTATACAATCTCATGCTTCCTCAACAAAACATAATGTCAGATAATTACTTATTGTCAAAATTTTAATTTGTGGGTACACAGTGTCAGATGATTTGGAGAGACTCTTGCATGGATTCCTTAGACACATGCCTATAATCTAGCATGCATGTGCATGTGTATGCACTCATTTACACCTCACCTCCACCCTCCTCCCACTACAACACTCCAGTCATGTCTTAGAGTATTATGGGAAAATTAGTCCCTCTAGGAGTTCAGAGGGAATTTGGCCTGTTTCCTGATAAACCACAGAGACAATCCTGAGACTGTATGCACTTGCACTGTATGATTCTCCAAGGCTATGTCATTGCCAAATTAATTTTACAAAGCTTAATGATGTGCAAATTATAACCATTGCTCTACTGAACATTAAGCATCAGGAAAGCATTAAGATATATTTATAAAATAAAGATCTTTTTCTATATAGACAACATAGCTTTTAGTTGAAACTCCATACTTTATCCTGTTGACAAAGTAAAATTTGTTCTTGATTACCTCCAAAACACACATTT